CTTGATACATTGAAGAAGTAGAGGGAACAGTGTGAAGGAAAATGAATCAGCAAGTAAAAAAACAAAACAAAAACCAAATCATCTGATGACAAGCCTGAGGCAGCACAGATGGGGCAGTTTACATAGCATTTGTGCATTATGAAGTGTTAATTTCTGAGATAGACACCCACTGGTGTGTGTTAGGCTAGGAATGGTACAAAGTTGTCTTTTTTTTTTTTTTGAGACAAGGTCTCATTATGAAGCTCTGGTTGGTCCAAGAATTTGCCATGTTACCCAGGCTAGTCATACATATATTTGTGATCCTCCTGCCAAAGTCTAAGTGCTGGGATTACAGGATGATATTAATCTTTAAAAGGATCACTTTGATTACTGTGTGGAAGGAATTAGATCCTGTGGGCATGCAAAAGAAATAAGGAAATAAGAGAACATTCTCATGGTCCAGTGGTAAGGTGATGGTGGTTGCAAATAGAAATCCCATGTGGAACGTGTTTGGATGTTACTGTTGGTAGAATTTGCTAATGGAACTGACATATGAAAGAATCAAAGATGAATCCAAAGTTTTAGCCTTAACTAGAAGAATGGATTTACCATTCTATGGGAGATATGGATTCTCTGGGGGAGGGAGGGGGGAGAGGGAGAGAGAGAGAGAGAGAGAGAGAGAGAGAGAGAGAGAGAGAGAGAGAACGAGAACTGACCATCTGGAGCAGTGTCCAGAGGTGAGAGTCTAAGAGAGAAATGGAAAACAAATGTGAAGGAGTCCAATAAAGGAATTCAGACAAACAAACAGCCAACCAACCAACTAAAAAACCCCAACCAACCAAAAAACCAAAAGTTAATAAAATAGTCTTTAAAGCATCGTTTTTTCAATCTGTGAGTCTCGGCTACTTTGGGAGTCAAATGACCCTTTCATAGGGGTGGCCTAAGACCATCGGAAAACACAGGTTTTACATTAGGATTCATAACAGTGGCAAAACTAGTTATGAAGTAGCAATGAAAATAGTTTTATGGTTGGGGTCATCACACTGTAAGGGTCACAGCATGAGGAAGGTTGAGAACCACTGCTTATAGAGGGAAATGCAAATCAATACCCCACCTCTTCCACAGATGGTAGTTAGTATAGTACATTTTAAGTTGACTTAAGTGATCCAACTCAAGGGGTAATATAAATCAGACAATTATGTGTAAGTGGCAAGTTTGTTTTTCCATAGGACAGATTACAGTTACCAGAGTGTTGTGTTGTATTCAGATGTGGAAAAGCTGGTAGTTTAGGAGTAGGCAGAAATTTTTACTGCTTTCTAATTTCTGTTGTTGGGGTAAGTAGCAAGATAATTGCCTTTGAAAAAGTATTGGTATGTTTAGAAGAAAGATGTTACCACAGCTGGTTAAGAGGCAGGATACATGCACTAATAGCCCTAGGGATTTGCTAGTGTGCACCTTGGCAGTCAGGAAAATAACTTCATCCTTAGCATGGCTGGCTGATTTTTTTCCAGCCAAGTTCAGCTGTTCTGTCGAAGGTAGATACTGTAGTGAATGAGCCAGAACTGTACCGTGGGCAGCTAAGGAGGAAAGGACTGAGAGCATTTTAGGATCTAAGCACTCATTTAAGCTAGGCAACCAATTATTTACTTATCTATTTTTACAGGTGTTAGGAACAGAGCTCAGGCCCTCTGGAAGAACAGCTAGTGCTCTTAACCACTGAGCCTTATTTATCTCCAGCCACAAGCAATGGATTTTAAAAAATGAATATAATACTTGTTTATTAGTAAACACATGGGACCTTTGTTATTTGTAGCAGTTGTTAAAGTAACCAGGAACACTGACTGCCCTTGAATAACAAGGTTAAGTCCTGTAAGCTTCTGGTTCTGTTTTCATCAACTAACTGGTCAATACATAAGGTAATTTTATGTGTTTGTTTAAAGAGCTTTTTTTTTTTTTTTTTTTTTTTTGTTTTTCCGAGACAGGGTCTCTCTGTGTAGCTTTGCGCCTTTCCTGGAACTCACTTGGTAGCCCAGGCTGGCCTTGAACTCACAGAGAGCCACCTGCCTCTGCCTCCCGAGTGCTGGGATTAAAGGCGTGTGCCACCACCGCCCTGCTGAGATGTTCTTGAAAATAATTATTATAAACATTATTTACAGGACACTCATAGCCAAAAATCACTAGTAGTAAGCCTGAAGGAAACTAATCTAACTAAACGAATCTTTTTTCTCTAAGACTTAACAGACCTTATTGAGTTTATAAATACCAGGCAGTGTCCAGCCCTGGGGGACATTTAAATAACAAAATCACCAAGACAAAAGCCCAAGAATTGTGAAAACCATGGCATTACATATATAGTGTGAATGCAGTTGTTTTCAGTACGAGAGATCAACTCATATTGAGAGGCAAGGTAGCATTGTTCAATCCCAGCAGAGAACAGCTGTCAGGCACATCAACATGCCCAGATCTATGTACCTTGGGTGGATACAGATGTGGGGGCGACAAATGAATTTTATTGCATAACTAAATTCGCAAATATAAAATAATGAGTTATCAGTGGTACATCTGCAACATTTCCTCCCATAGTTCCATCCTATGTTACTTCATCAAAGGGGAACAAGGGCTAGGGATATCAGGCAGGCGGTGGAGGTGAACGCCCTTAATCCCAGCTCTCGGGAGGCAGAGGTAGTCGGATCTCTGAGTTTGCTGCCAGCCTGGTCTACAGAGTGAGTTCCAGGACAGCCAGGGCTACACAGAGAAACCCTGTTTATTGAAGAAAGTCTTCAGGATTTCTGTGCAGGACATGTAATATCTTTGTCCTCTTCTTAGTGTTTGGGACTGACTACGAACACTCGAGCATTTCAATTGTTTCTTGTGTTTCATTTTTTCGACAAAATGTTAGAAATGATCTCTCCCTCTAGCCCTCCCCTATTCCTTCTCCCCTTTCATTTCAGGCACCGACCTTTTTTCTTAGTTACTGATAGCTTCTGTGGGCATTAAGCAGGCTTTTACTGGTTCTCATTATGATCTTAACATTTGACCCGTGGATCTGACAAGCCCACAATATCATTATTTTAAAAAAATTTTTTCCAGTTGTGAGTTCATGGTCTCTTCCTACGTTACACTTATTACACTTGACACTGCTGTAACTTGTTGGATATCAAATTATCTTCTCGGTGCTTTTTTTCGTTTCTTGAAGGGTTATTATTATTATTACTATTATTTTCGTTCTGATGTGCATCTTGTTCTCTTCTGTTACCGCAATCCTTTCTTGTCAAATCCATGATCAGGCGACCAACCAACCAGTCGACTCTCACCAAGAAAGGGTCGTCGCTGATCTTCTTCCTCCCCGCGTACCCCAAGTCATTCACAGCCACCTCACTTAGCAGTCCGCACGCTCTCTTTCCGCCTGTGCTCTCCGGGGAATGCCCTGCCAGGGAGAGGAAGAACGAGGAGGGGAAGGAGAAGCGGCGGCGGCGGCGGCGGTGGCGGCAAGGCTCGGTCCGTTCCGCCTCGCGGCCCGGGCACTTACGTCTCCAGCGCCCAGGCCTGCGCCCT